CTGTCCTGTGAAGGAAGATCCTAAGAAATTTAAATGTTCAAATTGTGGTGAAAACCACAAATCCAATTTTTGGGAATGTAAGACTCGCAAAGCGATCCTACAATCTCGTTCTAACCGTCAGGTAGGAAACGCTCCACGTTTCCGACCAGGTACAAATTCCTCTGCTGTTAACAACGGTCAGCGAGGAACAAATTCTACATTCGTACCCGTAGGTACAAATATCACCCCTGCTTCAAATTTTTCATCTGTACCTACTCCCCTCGCTGCTAACAATGTTCAGCGAGTTAATGGAGCTACCTATGCTGCTATTGCAGCGGGTAGAAATCAAAATACTAACCAACGTTCTAACGGAAATTTTGACAATTTTGACTTAGGAAGCATTACTGCCCCCAAAATGGAATTTTTACAGAATTCATTAATTGACATGATTTCTGATATGCTTAAATCTAACTCCATGTTTGATGCTATTCAAACTGGAGTAAAATTTGCAAATAATATTGTCATGACTTTAAAATTCAGTAATGGATTTTAAAGCATTAAATATTGTAAATTGGAATGCTCGATCACTTAAAGATAATGAAGACGAGCTATTTAACTTTTTGCGAGTTCATAACGTGCATATTGCCGTTATAACTGAAACGTTCCTTAAACCTGACCATAAGGTTAAGAAGGACGCAAATTACTTGATTTATAGAAATGATCGTCTTGATGGACCCTGTGGTGGCGTTGCCATCATTATTCATAGACGAATCAAACACAAAATACTTTCTTCATTTGAAACCAAAGTTTTTGAAACTTTGGGAGTTTCTGTTGAAACAAAATTTGGACAACTTACGTTTATAGCTGCCTATTTGCCATTCCAATGCGTAGGCCAGCAAAAGAATTTTCTCAAGGGTGACCTCCAGAAACTTACCCGTCATAGGTCTAAATTCTTCATTATTGGTGATTTTAATGCAAAACACCGCTCATGGAATAATGCTCAAAGCAATTCCAATGGTAATATTCTGTTTGATGATTGTTCTGCAGGTTATTACACTATTCAATATCCAAACAGCCCAACATGCTTTTCTTCTGCAAGAAATCCCTCCACTATTGATTTGGTCTTAACTGATTCATGTCAACTTTGTAGCCAACTGGTTACCCATGCTGACTTCGGTTCTGATCACCTTCCAGTAACTTTTGAAATATCCCAAGAAATAATTTGTAATCCCAACAGCTCTACTTTCAATTACCATAGAGCTGATTGGGAGCAGTATCGAACATTTATGGAATATAACTTCGATCCAAACATTCCTTTGCAAACCAAAGATGAAATTAATTATGCTCTTGAATCTCTGACTACTTCTATAGTTGAAGCAAGAGCTGCCTCAGTACCAAAATGCGAGGTTAAATTCGATTCAATTATAATAGACGATGATCTTCAGCTCTTGATCCGTCTTAAAAATGTCCGTAGGAGACAATATCAAAGAACACGCGATCCTGCCATGAAAGTTATCTGGCGGGATTTGCAAAAACAAATTAAAAAGCGATTCTCTGCCCTGAGGAACAAAACTTTTGAAAATAATATTTCTAAATTAGACCCGAGTTCCAAACCCTTTTGGAAACTCACAAAAATTTTGAAAAAACCTCAAAAGCCTATTCCAGCGCTTAAAGAAGGTGGTAAAATTTTGATCACAAATTTGGAAAAAGCTCAGAAACTTGCTAAGCAATTCGAGAGTTCCCATAATTTCAGTTTGGGTCTTACTAGTCCTATTGAGAATCAGGTTGCTCGGGATTATCTGAATATTTTCTCTCGGGAAAATATTTTTGATGATTCCTGGGGGACTGATTTGGACGAAGTAAGGTCTATAACTAAAAATTTTCAAAATATGAAAGCTCCAGGTGATGATGGAATTTTCTATATCCTCATCAAAAAACTCCCAGAGAGTACCTTGTCTTTCTTGGTAAAATTATTTAACAGATGTTTCCATTTGGCATACTTTCCTGATAAATGGAAAAATGCAAAAGTTGTTCCAATTTTGAAGCCGGATAAAAATCCAGCTGAAGCTTCTAGCTACCGTCCAATAAGTTTGCTTTCTTCAATAAGTAAACTTTTTGAAAAGATAATTTTGAATAGAATGATGCTTCACATCAATACGAACTCAATTTTTGCAGATGAGCAGTTTGGATTTCGCCATGGGCATTCAACTACTCATCAACTCTTAAGAGTTAACAATTTAATTCGTTCAAACAAATCTGAAGGCCACTCAACTGGAGTTGCTCTTCTAGACATAGAAAAAGCATTCGACAGTGTTTGGCATGAAGGTTTGATTGCTAAATTGAAAAAGTTTAATTTTCCACTTTATATTATGAAATTAGTTCAAAATTATTTAACTGACAGAACTCTTCAAGTAAATTATCAAAATTCCAAATCTAATCGACTACCTGTTAGGGCAGGAGTTCCTCAGGGTAGCATTCTTGGGCCTATATTGTATAACATTTTCACTTCGGACCTCCCTGATTTGCCTCAGGGTTGCCACAAATCTTTGTTCGCTGATGACACAGGCATTTCCGCTAAAGGAAGAAGTCTTCGTGTTATTTGCAGCAGACTGCAGAAAAGTTTAGATATTTTCTCTTCTTATTTACAAAAATGGAAGATTTCTCCCAACGCTTCCAAAACTCAACTTATAATATTTCCACACAAGCCTAGAGCTTCGTTTTTGAAACCTAGTAGTAGTCACATAGTCACTATGAACGGAGTTCCAATTTCCTGGTCAAACCAAGTGAAATATCTTGGATTAATACTTGACCAAAAATTAACTTTTAAAGATCACATTGAGGGCATTCAAGCCAAATGTAACAAATATATAAAATGTTTGTATCCTCTTATAAACAGGAAATCCAAACTTTGCCTGACGAATAAACTTCTAATATTTAAACAAGTTTTTAGACCGGCCATGCTTTACGCTGTGCCAATATGGTCTAGTTGCTGCACTACCAGGAAAAAAGCACTTCAAAGGATCCAGAACAAAATTCTGAAAATGATTTTGAAGTTGCCTCCCTGGTACAGTACAACCGAAGTACATAGAATTTCGAATGTTGAGACTTTAGCACAAATGTCCAACAAAATAATTAATAATTTCAGGCAAAAATCGTTGCAATCCTCAATTGCAACGATTAATTCCCTTTATACTTAGATAAGATTTAGTTTTAGTTTTTAGTTTTAAGATATCAATTGTTATACTGACATGCAGGTTAAAAAACCTGTTTAAAATACTGAATTGCCAAGACATGAACAATGTAAAAACACTTAGATATATATCATAACAATTAAGGCTGGTACGTTACTGCAGTAACTGGAGCACCTAGGTTAAAATGAAATGTAATTTATTTTGAATTTGGAACAAATAAAGAGTTAAAAAAAAAAAAAAAAAAAAAAAAAAAAAAAAAAAAAAAAAAAAAAAACAACGAACGGATAACGGTGTACCATCCTCAATTTCTCGAAACGGAAATGTGGCTGATTCCATTTCCACTTGGTCGGATGGCATCCCATCCGTGTTTCTCAAACGCTGTATATCATCACTAACTGCCCCTCTTGGACATATATTTCGATTATCGTTGACGACCGGTAAATTGTGGAAAGACGCGTATATATTTTCCGTTCACAAGAGAGGTAATAGACGAAATGCTGACAATTATCGTAGAATTTCAACGTTGTGTGCGGATTCCAAATTGTTCGAATTTGTTGTCCTAATACCTATCAACGTGAAGCAATTTATTAACGAGGATCAGCCAACGGCGAGGATCAGCCAACGGCGAGGATCAGCCAACGGCGAGGATCACGTGAAATTGTTACAAGATGCTATGGAGCATGCATGAATTGCATGCTCTTAAATCCCAGTAAATGTATTGTAGTCATATTTTCGAGAAAGACGACCCAGTTAAACTTCGGCTATTCCTTGATGGGCACTCACTTGCAGAGGGAGAACCATGTTAAAGGTTTAGGAGTGATTCTTGACGAAAAACTCACGTTCCAGCTGCATTTGTCGTACGTAGTGACGAAAGCCTCACGAAACTTTTTCAGGTAGCAAAAGAGTTACAAGATGTATACTGCCTGAAATCACTATATTGCTCCGTGGTACGAACGACATTGGAATATGCTTCTCCTGTTTAGAACCCTCATTTCCAAAATGGTGTCAAACGAATCAAGTCGGCACAGCGGCGTTTTATCAGATACGCTCTCCGAAAGCAAACCCCACACGTATCTATAAATTGACGCGGAGGGGAATTATTGATGATGTGAATACAGAATTATTGTAAATACCGATGTATTGACGTCAATATAGAATGTATTGACAATACGATTATTGTCAATAAAAACAATCGTGTAGGGTCCACTGAAGATTTCCTTTGAGGGATCTCTTTAATCTACCGAGCTACGAGAGCCGTTTCCTCCTGATTCAGCTGGACATCGTCCAAACACGACGTGAGGTGGCTAAGGAGCATGTCATCGCTGATATTCTAACCGACCTATGGATTGTCCTGTCCTGCTCGGCAACATTAATGTTCAAGCTCGCTCCCGTGTGCTTCGAGGCAACTCTCTTCTCAGGATCCCACTCAGGAGAACTAACTATGCGGCGAACTCCGGGCTAATCGCCCTCCAACGGACGTTCAACCGAGTCTCCTCAGGTTTTTGTTTTAACATGTCACGCGACTCTCTCAGAAGACAATTGTTGTTAGCATTAAGATAACTTTTTATCATTTGGACACCACACTAGTCTGTTGATAACATACAATAAATTAACGAAATTTAGAAAACTTGTGGTCTAGAGTGGTAACGGAGGTGACAAAGGCCAGAGGCGAGGCGGAAACGGAAGTTTTAGTAGGTAAAAAACCCACTTATTGCTCTACAGATTTTTCCTAGAAGTTCGAAACTAATATCCAGTATTCAACATTGTCTATAATAATTTCTGACACTTGGATCATACGGGAAGCTAACAAATTTCAATTCTTCATTTCAGTAAATTTGTCCGATTGCGCGAGTACAACGTATTCGACGACCCGGACTGCGTGATCGAGCATAACTTCCAGGATTGCTCGGAGGAAAAAATAGATGCCGAACCAGTACAAATCATTGTGCACCCGGATTACGATCCAAACTTTCGCCACAAGTACCACGACATCGCCCTGATCGAAATCGGCCCAGTTCCATTCTACACGGACTTTCTGCGGCACATTTGCCTTCCGGAATCAGACCTGGACAACGGTGCTGCCCCGGGGAAGAAATTTAGCGTTTCCGGCTGGGGAAGAACCGACATCTGTAAGTCACCATACTGTATACAGCAACAGCAATAAAGGCTAATCGATTTCCATTCCCCCATTAGTTCGTCAACAACTTGGCAATAATGCACTCAGCCCGATCAAGCTGAAGGTGGTTCTGCCTTACGTGGATCCCGAACAGTGCAAGAGGGTTTTCCGTACCCAGCAGTTGGAGATCGGCCCGGGTCAGCTGTGTGCCGGTGGTGAGAAGGCGAAAGACACCTGCGGTGGAGACAGCGGATCGCCACTCATGTTCTACGATATCAAAGCCGGAGCTTGGGTACTGACCGGTATAGTTTCGCTCGGGGTTCGTGACTGTGGTACTGAGGGAATCCCCGGCGTTTATACAAACGTGCGCGAGTACTTGGACTGGATCAAACAGAATGCTCGAATGTGAAACGAAATATGTACATATGGTGATCAACACAAACCCGATGAGAGTAGAGAGTAAATAAACGGAAACCACAAAAAACGTGACTGGTGTTTGGAATGGGTGGTTCAAGAGAAAAGCAATACAAACTGAATGCTTTTGAGATGAGGGCAAAGAGCATTGCAAGTCATCGCACAACATCGCAACCAACAGCTGAGTCGTGCATGACTATGGATGATACTGCGTTGCGGATCCGGTTTGTGACGTCAGATTGATCAAGTAGAGAAGTGGTTCGTTCGAGACGCTCTCTGATCAAGAAGTGAGCGAGAGTTAAAAACGAGATAGATTTTTTTTTGAGACGATTTATATTGAGAGCCTGAATACAACTGCCAGCATCATTAGTTTAATAAGGTTGCCATTGCCATGATTTGTGTTGATATTTAATTATTTCATAAAACTATGTATCTACTACATCTATCAAACGTAGTGATATCAAAACACGTTATGTCCCGTTGAAAAGGTTGAATTTAAAATAAATAAGTATTTCAATCCGCAAATGCTGGCAGCGATGTAGAGTAAGTTTGCTGCGCCCTTGGAATACCATGAAAATGACGCCCCTCTCCTAATTGATTAAATAAATCGTATCGAATAAGAGGAGAGAACATCTTTGTTATTCTCCATTTTTCTCTCATTCGGGAATCTTTATTTGAGCTTAGCCCGGAATATATTTTTTTGTTTACTAAGTCAAATTTATCAAACAAAATTAAAAAAAAATCCATGTTCTAGATCAGGGTTGGAAATTGTCATTTTCGCAGAGATACTTCTGTCACTATCATCGGATGAGAAAACGATGATAGAGATTTTCTTCGACATATCATCGATTTGTTTTTCACATGATAGAACGTGACAGTGTTGTAAACATTGCAATAACTAGGTCAATTATCGATATCATTGGTGATTGTACTGCGGAAATATATTCACTATACCGACTACATACTGTTACATGTTTAAATTCATTTATTTTATTATTTATTTATTTATTTATTTTATCTCTTCATCTGACAAAAGACGCCTTAATGAAGCTGGACAGGGAAAAGCCAATTTAAGCCACGTGATGCTCAAATAAGCGTAAAAACCCTGCATCTTCCAACAAAGCAAAACCTTACATAAAATAACACACATTGCAAATACAGTCATAAGGTTTAATACGTGGCCAATGACGTCGTTGATCTCAGTCGTCATCCGGAAGTAAGGCAACCACCGAGAAAAACATAATTGGGGGTTAGAAGGAAAGGGGTGTAAGTGACTTTCATCGATTCTCTTCATCGACTTTGCAAACACATTCCTTGATTCATGTGCCATTCTGAATGCTAGATGAGAATCTCCTTTATCAAACTATGTGGCAGAAATAGCGCAAAATCTGTTTATAAAACTGTGGCTATCAAAAGAGAAAGTCGATGAAGAGAATCGATCACAGTCACTTACACCCCTTTCCTTCCAACCCCCTTAATTCAAATCGAGTAGCACAACTAACACAGCTCTAAAAAAGGTGGACAGTTACTCACCCCTGCCGGCGCCGGTGGTGTAGTGGTAAGCGTGACTGCTTTCTAACACCCCGATGGGTATGAGTTCAATCCCAGCCGAGGTCGGTGGGATTTTTCTGAGGCATAAAAATCTCTGGTCACGTCTTCCTTCGGAAAGGAAGTAAAGCCGTTGGTTGGTCCCGGCCCATGTGTGTTGAATGGGTGCGATATCCTACGCAGGTGTGGAAGCTGTCTTCCTGCACATTCGATTGCCGTCAATGGATGGTAATCGATGTCCGTTGGTGATTGGCACTAGATTGCGCAACAGAGACCGACGTTAAATAAAGGATAGAAAGTTACTCACCTACTGCATATAATTTCTTTCGCATCACTGAGTTACATTCGGTTAGTGAGACGTTGAGCAGCAGGAACATGGAAATCGAAGACCTCAGATACTTCATTGAAGCGTGAAGCCATGGGTCGTGTTGGCCGTATCTACTATTGCGGGACTCCAGATACATCAGATTACGTCGAAGAAGGGAGCGTTCAGGAACATAGACGTTTATATCCGCAAGAATATCAGGAGCATCAACCTTGTTGGCCAGGACCTTAGCGACGAAAACTGCTTGCTGGTTAGACCAACATTTTTCCAGTGTTGTTCGTATGGCGGCAAGTTTGAAGGGTCACGCAAAGGTAGGTGTCGCAGGGTGTCTGCGAATGATGTGATCGAATGTGCCAGGTCGAGTGATCGCACTGTATCGCTTGAGGAGCCATGTCGGAGTAAGGCGAGAACCATACGGGCACTCATCGGTTGGAATGATTTCGCCTCAACCCATACTACTGCAAAGAAGAGAACCGGGACCAACGACGATAAACACAGAGAATAAGTCTGTTTCTACCACAGCTCGCGAACGGTCAACGGAGGGCGAACCTCCTTACGTATTTTGTAGAATAAATGTTCGATGTGAAATAGTGTACGTTTAAATAAAGTTTTTGTTAATTGTAACTGGTGTAAATTTGAATTATGCCCCGAAGTAAGACCACAGAGCGGTGTATGGAGGAATTCCAGAGATTGCTCAGCCAGTGCCAGCGAAGTATAACCAACAGCAAACGGCTGGTCTGGCGATGCGACAAGGTCACCCAAGGACTACGAACTAAACGATCGAAGGTATCCCAACACAGGGTTAAGCGCACAAATTTTCTTTGAATCGCCTTCATTCCTTCCGACCAAACACTTGCATATGAACACCAAATCAATACACCGGATTTCAGAATGGAGCCAACTTGGGCGCAGTACAGTGATTTTAGTCAAAGAGGGTTCAATGGCCATCAGCGAGCATAAATATGAATCCAAGTTGTCTGTTCGCTTTCTAAATCACAACACGGAGGTCTTTGACCCGATTCAATCGTTCTAGAACGTAGCCAGTAAGATGACACTGAAAGTGGATTGCATGACGCTTCCTTGTGAAGGAAATAGTATTGCACTTCGCTACGCACAGCTCAAGGGACTTTCGACAGCTCCAATCCTTGAACTAATTCAACAGTTTCTGCAGGCAGATACAGTCCTCAATAGATGTAATAGCCATTAAAATGTTCACGTCATCAGCATGGAACACCCGAGTACCGGTGGTAGAACAAATGCCACATCATTTATGAAAAGCGAGAACAGTAAGGGACCCAGGTTACTTCTTTGAGGTTCTCCAGACGTAACCGTAATTTTGGATAAGTGAGATGAGTCAATCGGACAGGTACGATTTTAACCAGCTAACCCAGGCTACATATACTCCGAGTTTTTAAAGTTTTCGAAGCAGAATATCATGATTCACTTGGTTGAAGGCAGTTTTGAAAACCGTGTATATAGGGTTAACTACCCCATTTCCGGCCTATTAAGCACAACCCGCACTTAGTCTTTCTTAATCTAGCGCAATTTTGCACCAAAAGGAATGTTATTATTACTGATGGCTTCCTAATTTATTTACCTTTCCGTACCTACCGTAAGATTTGATAAAGAGAAACCAATCGTTGATATATTATCAAAAGTATAACACTGCTTCTTGACGCCAAACTCGGCCTATGGATTCTAAACTCGGCCTAACGCATTGAAACGCCAATGAATTCACTTCGGCCTATCGGATGAAGATAAAAACTGATTCGGTCGGAGTGCTTCTTTTGTTTTTGTGAATAATGGATGCAAACCTTCATATCATGCATTCTCATTGACTTCGTTTGGTAGCTTATTAACTAAAGTATCGTACCAAATGCATAATTGACTTGTTAACTCTGAAATCATGGATTTATTTGAAGTTTTCTGCTCGATAGGCCCAAAATGGGTGATTAGGCCGAAGTAGTTCTCTACCCTAGCATCTACTTGCAAACCGCCGTCCATCGATCGAAGACACAGTGAAGTGAATTGCGCGAAATTTGTGCTCACCGATCTTTATGGGAAGAATCCATGTAGGTCAGTAGAGATGTAGCTCTTGCTCGCTTCAAACAAGGCATCGTTCTCGACAATCTCAGTTAGTTGATAGTTGGCAATGTTACATTTTGCTCCTTTTTGTGAATAGGAGTCATAGCAGAACATTTCCACCTGGAGGGGAAAACCGATCGTTGCAATGAAGCATTAAAAAACTTCAGAAGCGGTGTCAACAGAACCACAGAGCATTTTTTGGAATGTTTGAGTTTACGTATCGCATTTACTCATTAACAGGTAGGATTAGTTGTCTATAGACAGTAAACTGATTATTCAGGGATATGGTGGCCTTCCTATTGATAAGCGGATACATCGATCTTATCAAGATGTTGCACTTGATGTTTGTTCTGTCAATGTGCTCCCTGAAAAGAAGAATGCTGTCTAGTGTTAGTCCGAGGTACACAACCTCTTTGGACCATTCCACCACTGAGCCATTTAAGCATAGCTTATTATTCTCATACGGAACAAGTTTTGGTGATTGGGAATGTGGAAATATGATATGATCCAGGGTCTTCACCGCGTTGATACGGATCTTCCAATTATTGAAATACTCAGACGGACATTCAAGCCTCTCTGAAGTTTTGCATTTAGCGTTCCAATGACACTTCCCAAGTTCCGCATTCAATAATTAAAATCACTTCCAAGTTCCATAAAGTTCAAGTAAAGTTCCGACCGAACCTTTAAGTTCCATAAAGTTCAAATAAAGTTCAAATAAAGTTCCGACAGAACTTTCAAGTTCCAAAAAGTTCGAATAAAGTTCTGAAAGAACTTTCAAGTTCCATAAAGTTCAAATAAAGTTCCGACAAAACTTTCAAGCCACATGAAGCAATCCGCACAAGTCTTTATTAGTAACAAAATGTAATGCACGTTAATATGAAATGATCAGTGGCCCGAATAAATCATTTTTTTATGTTGATGCACTGCATAAATAGGGTAGAGAACTACTTCGGCCTAATCGCCCATTTTGGGCCTATCAAGCAGAAAACTTCAAATAAATCCATGATTTCAGAGTTAACAAGTCAATTATGCTTTTGGTAGGTTACTTTAGTTAATAAACTACCGAACGAAGTCAATGAGAACGCGTGATATGAAGGTTTGCATTCTTAATTCCCGCAAGCGCTCCGACCGAACCAATTTTTTATCTTCATCCGATAGGCCGAAGTGAATTCATTGGCGTTTCAATGCCGTTTCAATGCGTTAGGCCGAGTTTAGAATCCGTAGGCCGAGTTTGGCGTCAAGAAGCAGTGTTTGGCTTTTGAAAAAATCTCAACGATTGGTTTCTCTTTATCAAATCTTACGGTACGTACGGAAAGGTAAATAAATTAGGAAGCCATTAGTAACAATAACATTTCGTTTGGTGCAAAACTGCGCTAGATTAAGAAAGACTAAGTGCGGGT